ATTTAAATAATGCACATCTATTTATGGACTTGGGAAGCAAATGGACAACAACATATTAGCTAAAAGTATGGAACCATTAGCAATTACACAGAAAAAACGTTTTTGCCTGGAGTTCAGCTTTAAGGATTTTAGTTCAGTAGCGTTCTCTGGCTTGCTTGAAACCCAGCTTCAAACCATTTTGGTAACTCTGTATACAGTGGGGTAGAGCTGGAACTTTTTCAGGTTTTTCTTACACTCCATATCCCCGCTGGAGAGATATTTCTGTCCTGGCTGGCTATTATTGAATATAATGTATTATCAGTACAAAGGTAAGGTGACTTAATATGCTAGTAGCCAGCAGTACAAAGTACATGCCGATCCCTCTACTGAAATCTTTTCATGAATGCCCCAGGAAACCCTGAGCATTCCTATGGTCCTATGGCCAGTAGCCTGCACTATGCCACACCCAGTGGTGTATTAAGTTTTGTGCTGCCCTAGGCAACACAAAAATCATCTGCCCCCACGGACACCGACCAAACACAAACTCCCTTCCCACTCCTGCTGAGAGAGAGCCTGACGTTGACCAACACCATTGCCCCCCACCCGGGAGAGAATTCCACCAGCCCCCCCCACCCCCCAGGCAATTGAGAGACACTCATCTTCACAGCTCCGAAAATCCTCGGGAACGAAAGCCAGGCTCTACATACACCGTCAAGCAGCCCACAGCCTCTCTCGGATCCCACCTGGTTCCCATGGTGTGCTTGTCCCTCTTTCATCCCTTCTTCTGGGGGGAGATGCTGCCCCCCTGAAAAAATACCGCCCTAGGCAAGTGCCTTGTTTGCCTTGTGGTAAATACGCCCCTGGCAACACCTACAAAGTATTCAAAGATGAAGCTGAGATTAAAAGATTGCAACACAAAATGTTGTCTACTATAAGCACGTAATGTTACTGTAAAACACTGCAGTCCTGAAAAATGTTTGAGTTTTCTTACCAATTCAAAAGACTTGCTTTTTTTCAGAATATTACATACAAATTTTAGGGAGAAAAAATGAAAGTAAAAAGATCCAGAAATTTGTAAACATTTCAAGTTCTAATCAAGCGTCAGATGAACCACAAATTATCAGAAGAGGCCGCAAACGATATCATTCACAATATGTGGATAATGTGGGGCAAACCCAGCATGTTAATTCCCTGCTTAATCCTATCAGTTACATGTCTGCAGTCTTTTTATGATTGGTAGTGCATGAATATGTTATACTAAAATCAGAATTATATCTGCAGAGACAGAACTTTCAGAGGTAACAAATTTTACAAGGACCGTGAAATTGACTATAGTCTGTGAAGGGCAAAAAGATCATGAAGGTATTTGTTTCTTGAACAAAAATTTCAGTTCAGAAACAGAGAGGATAGTAGAAACTATGAACTTGTGAACATTGCCATTAATATGCCATCTGCTAAAATGAAAAATGACTTTAACCACTTGCCCTATAGAGGATTTACCCCCCTTCCTGACCAGGCCATTTTTTGCGTTAAGGCGCTGCGTTATTTTAACTGACAATTACGCGGACATGCAACATTGCACCCAAATTAAATTTGCATCCTTTTTTTCCCATGATTTGAGCTTTCTTTTGGTGGTATTTGATCACCTGTGTGTGTTTTTTATTTTTTGTGCTATAAAAAAAAAGACCGACAATTTTGAGAAAAGAACAATATTTTTGACTTTTTGCTATTAAACATCTTGTGTAAAAAAATTAAATTTTGTCATAAATTTACACCAAAATGCATTCTGCTCCATGTGTTTGCTAAAAAAAATTTCCCAATACGTGTAAATTTATTGGTTTACATGAAAGTTATAGCGTTTACAAATGGTGGTATATATACTGGGATTTTTTTTTATTTTTAATTTTTACTAGCAATGGCGGTGCTCAGCGACTTATAGCAGGACTGTGGAACTGTGGAGGACATTCTGACACTGGGGGGAACAGACTTGGTGTCACTGACATCTCCAGTGACACCAATACAGTGATCTGTGCTAAAATAAAAGCAATGACACTGTACTACTGGCACTGGGCAGGAAGGGGTTAACATGAGGGGCGATCAAAGGGCTAACTGTGTGCAGGGAGTGTTTTACTGGGGGGCGGTGTGTGTGTGTGTGTTTTACAGTAAGCACACTGCTCTGGATGACTGTGCACAGCCATCCAGAGCAGTGTGCCCGAGCTGACAGGGAGGAGGACTGTTAGTAAACAAACCAGTCCTCCTCCCCGTCGGTGATCATTGGAAATCATCGGACACCAGCGAGTAATTACCGGTCAGGACCCAGTGATTGACATCCGTGGCCGCGAATGACAGCGCCAGTAGGGTGCCCTTGCGGTTCGTGAGGGCCCCCTACCCAGAAATGCAAAATGACATATACATACATGATTTTGAGCACCCGTGCCACCCTGTAGCAGTATTTCTGCTATAGGGCGATGGGGATGCTGTTAAAGAAGAACTTTGCTAAGCATTATCAAAACTGACCCCCACCATATCCTAATGCAGTTTCCATAAAGTGCACTTTATGTGTCGGCGAAAAATACCACTTGGGACAATGTCAGGATCCCCCTGTAGGAATTGCTATGAGATACAAGGAAAACAGTTGATAATAAGCAGAGAATAGTAATGATAGTAGAGAAACCTAACAATAATAAGTAAAGGACAATAAGGTGCACACAAACAGAAATACTAGGCAAAATTGTCTTGCAAGACATACAGAATAGCAAGATGACAGCACAATAGCAAAATACAGAGCATCATAACAGAGCAAAAACCAACCTAAACATTGACTAAGGAAGCAGTAAAAAAACAACTAAAGCAAGTTAGGAAAGATTAGAAAGAAATTAGACGTGCACACTGGAAACTTTAATTTCACTTGGTTTTTGGATCCATTCGTTAATTGAAGAATTTGTTTTTGGATGCATTTGTTAATGGACCGATTCGATTTCGGAATTTGTTTCCTATCTGCGGCATTTGTTTCATTTCATTCGTAATAGTGCTGGCTGTTAAGGAGCGAGCAGCCACCACATCTTTGACAACTATGACTCATCTGCTGTAAGCGGAATTCCCCAAAGACCCCAACCACCACCCAGGGTTGTGGGGAAGAAGCCCTTGTTCCCATCAATATGGAGGCAAGGTGCTTTGGGGGGAGCCCCCCCCCCAAAGAACCCCCCCATGTTAAGGACATGTGGCCTTATAAGTTTCAGGAGGGGGGGGCGCTCTCTCATCCCCCTCCCTTTCCTGGCCTGCCAGGCGGCATGCTCGGATAAGGATCTGGTATGGATTTTGGGGGGGACCCCACACCATTTTTTTTAAAAATGTTGCCATGGGGTTCCCCCGAAATCCATACCAGACCTGAAGGCCCTGGTGTGGATTGGAGGAGGACCCCATGCTGTTTTTTTTGTTTTTATTTATTATTTTTATTTTAACTGACACTTCTTTTTGCTGCCAGCAGGGAATGTCTATAAATGAATTCAGACTGGCAAAAAAGATCCTAAGGGGGGCAACACAAATGTGTTTTTTTACAGCGCTAACCCTGATACTTTTCTGTCTAGTCACTGTGTTTGAGAAATACTGCTTTAATATAAGTTGACCAAAAGGTCCCTGGTTTGTAGGGACAATCCATGATTTCAAGAAGCTGAAGAGGAAAAAAAGGTGAGTGGAATTGGAACTTGGGATGAACTTTGTGCGTTTTGTACTCTTTACCTGACTCTGTGCCTTACTCTTGACCTCTGCAGTCTGTGCACTTTTTTACTCCTGACCCCTGCACTCTGTACATTACTTACTCCTGACCCCTGCACTCTGTACATTACTTACTCCTGACCCCTGCACTCTGTACATTACTTACTCCTGACACCTGCACTCTGTACATTACTTACTCCTGACCCCTGTTACTCTGTACATTACTTTCTCCTGACCCCCTGCACTCTGTACATTACTTACTCCTGACCCCTGCACTTTGTACATTACTTACTTCTGACTCCTGCACTCTGTACATTACTTACTCCTGACCCCTGCACTTTGTACATTGCTTACTTCTGACTTCTGCACTTTGTACATTACTTACTTCTGACTCCTGCACTTTGTACATTACTTACTTCTGACTCCTGCACTCTGTACATTGCTTACACCTGATCTCTATGCATTACTTTCTAATGACCACTGCACTCTCTGTGTTATTTACCACTAATCCCTGCAGTGTGGGCTCCATGCACACTCTACACAGAGCAGGGTAGGTTTTATTTAACTATCTCCCACCTGGCCAATGTACATAAATGGCCAGGTGGGAGCTTCCCCGTTCTGAGTGGATGTTCCTGTATGGCCCTCAGAACAGGTGCCTGTGTGTGGCCCTGTGATGGCTTCAGACGCACCCCATCACAGATCGGAATACGGGCTCTCTGATTGGCCCTCCTGATCACTTGATGACTGTGTCGAATCACAGCCATCTCTGAATGTCAACAGATATACGTGTCTCTGTAGCTGTTTCCCTCCGCTGAGCTGGGGGAAGGGGAGATGCTACAAACTATGACAACTGATCTGTGTAGCTGATCATTTTATTGATCAGTTACACAGATCTGCAGCCATCCCACACCTGTGCACCAAGTATCATTTGTCCCTGTGCACATGCCAACATCTGTAGCAGTGTCCCACAAACATCTGTCAACATCTGTCACAGTGTACAGTGCACAAAAACATCTGTCAGTGTACAGTGCACAAAACAAATAAATAATAATAAAAAAAATGAAGCACCCCCGTCCCCCCTTGCTCTCGTGAAAAGGTGGATGCACATATTGGTCTCATATGCATACATAAACAGCAATTGCATCACACATGTGCAGTATCGCCGCGAATGTCAGAGTGAGAGCAATAATTCTAGCACCAGACCTCCTCTGTAACTCTAAACTTGTAACCTGTAAAGACTTATAAAGCTTCGCCTATGTATATTTTTAAATATCGTAGAAAGGGTGTTTCTAGGCTTCAGAGAGACTTAATATTAGTGCAGAACACTGTACCTTTAATTTAAATGCCCTTGGAGTCTGCTGGGGAAGAGAAATAATACTGTCAGTCAGTATGACATGCAGATGAGTGCCGTCGATCTTAGAATCACCGCACACTTCACTCATTTGGGCAGTCACGGGGCCAAAACCAGAGTGTGGAGCCACAGTGTGGCGGTGGAGGCAGCAGCAATGGGAGGCCATACAGCACCTATGACAAAAATGGAAACCACCAGCAGTGTGAGGAGACCTGAAAGTGGCACATGGCAGAGGTGTGGCGATAGAGACAGCAGCAATGGGAGGCCGTACAGGGACCCATGACACACTCTGGACCTGGCAGCAGCATGAGGAGGCGGTACAGGGGCCCATGACAGATTACGGGCCTGGCAGCAGCATGAGGAGTCGGGTACGGGGGGCCCATGGCAGATTACGGGCCTGGCAGCAGCAATGGGAGGCCGTACAGGGACCCATGACACACTCTGGACCTGGCAGCAGCATGGGGAGGCGGTACAGGGGCCCATGACAGATTACGGGCCTGGCAGCAGCATGAGGAGTCGGTACGGGGGCCCATGACACACTCTGGACCTGGCAGCAGCATGAGGAGGCGGTACAGGGGCGCATGACAGATTACGAGCCTGGCAGCAGCAACTTGGACAGGAGGACGTTCAGCTTCTGCACCGTCGGGTGCGTGCTCGCAAAACTGTTGTCTCTTGGAAACGGATTCCAAGAAAGACTGCTGACGGGAATCCGTGAAGAGAGGAGTAGCAGGAGAAGGAGCATCTGAACGAGCGGAATATGGAATATGCCAACAAGCGACAACAGGGGCCCATGACAGATTACGGGGGCCTGGCAGCAGCATGAGGAGTCGGGTACGGGGGCCCATGGCAGATTAGGGGCCTGGCAGCAGCTATGGGAGGCCCGTAATCTGCCAGCACCCTATGACAAAAAATGGAACCCACCAGCAGTGTGAGGAGACCTGAAAGTGGCACATGGCAGAGTGTGGCGATGGAGACAGCAGCAATGGGAGGCCGTACAGGGACCCATGAGAGACTCTGGACCTGGCAGCAGCATGAGGAGGCGGTATAGGGGCCCATGGCAGATTAGGGGCCTGGCAGCAGCTATGGGAGGCCCGTAATCTGCCAGCACCCTATGACAAAAAATGGAACACACCAGCAGTGTGAGGAGACCTGAAAGTGGCACATGGCAGAGTGTGGCGATGGAGACAGCAGCAATGGGAGGCCGTACAGGGACCCATGAGAGACTCTGGACTTGGCAGCAGCATGAGGAGGCGGTATATAGGGGGCCCATGGCAGATTAGGGGCCTGGCAGCAGCTATGGGAGGCCCGTAATCTGCCAGCACCCTATGACAAAAAATGGAACACACCAGCAGTGTGAGGAGACCTGAAAGTGGCACATGTTGGGGGCATGATTCATGGCGGATTTAGTCAGTTGTGTCAGGAACTGGTGGTTTGAAATCCAGACTAATCCACGCCTGATTCATTTTCACAAACAACGTGAGTCTCTCCACACTTTGGGTGGACAGTCGTGTCCTCCGCGGAGTTGCAAATACCTCCTGCCGCACTAAAAACACGCGCTCCGATGCCACGCTACTGGCCGGGCATGACAGCCTTTCAAGGGCAAATTCAGCTAGTTGGGGCCAAAAGGTCAAGTTTCGTTGCCCAGTAGTCAAGGGGATTGTCTACCTCGGTTGGCAGGGTGCTGTCCAAGTAGGCCTAAGCCTGTTGTTTGAGGTCCTGCTCCAGGTCCACCACCTGATGCTGCTGCTGCTGCTGCTGCGGCTGGTTAGTAGTTTCCTCACTGCGCTGGTGAAGAAAGCTACTCATCATCGACTGCAGACTGAGGCAGCCGCTGCTGGTGGGAGCTGCCACTGCTCCTACCCCCCCACCCCTCCCCTGCTGCCCATGGCAGCGGAACGCGAGCGCACAGGGCCCACAGTGTCTGAGGATGGACGTTGGCGCAGACAGGCAGAGACCAGCTGACTACATAGGTGGTTTTTATAGTACGTTATTTTGGCCTCCCTCTCAGCAGCAGGTGTGAAAAAAAGGCCACCATTTTTGAACGGTAGCGAGGGTCCAACAAGGTGGACAGCCAAAAGTCATCCCTCTGTCTGATGGTTATTATTCGGCTGTCGCTACGCAAGCAAGCGAGCATGCTATGGGCCATTTGTGCCAAGGAATGCGAGGGACTCCCTGCCTCCATCTCCACAGCATACTGCCACGGTGCGTCTGGGTCCTCTGTCTCCTCCTCCTCCTCCTCCTCTACCAGATGCTCCTGCTCCTCCACTCCTGTCCGCTGAGTGGAAAAACCACCCATTTCACTCAATAATTCCTGAGCACCAATGTCCTCCTCTACCTCCTCCTCTTCTTCCTGTCCTGCCCCCACAGGGGTCATGTGGCGTTGAGATCTGTGCGCCACGTCTACCGCACCCTGACCAGCCATTGTTAACAGCATTTGTTCCAGGACGTGCAACAGAGGAATGACGTCGTTCATCCCATAGTCCTGCCGACTCACGAATAGCGTGGCCTCCTCAAAGGGCCTGAGCAAGCGCAGGTGTCACGCATGAGCTGCCAATGGCTGACATCTAAGTTACACAGGGAGTACCTTTATCCGCTTTTAACATCAGGAAATCTGTGATGGCCTTTTGCTGTTCGTAAAGGCGGTCTAACATATGTAGTAGGGTTGAATTCCACCTTGTTGCAACGTCACAGCATGAGGAGTCGGTATAGGGGCCCATGGCAGATTAGGGGCCTGGCAGCAGCTATGGGAGGCCCGTAATCTGCCAGCACCCTATGTCAAAAAAAAATTCAACACACCAGCAGTGTGAGGAGACCTGAAAGTGGCACATGGCAGAGTGTGGCGATGGAGACAGCAGCAATGGGAGGCCGTACAGGGACCCATGAGAGACTCTGGACCTGGCAGCAGCATGAGGAGGCGGTATATAGGGGCCTATGGCAGATTAGGGGCCTGGCAGCAGCTATAGGAGGCCCGTAATCTGCCAGCACCCTATGTCAAAAAAATTCAACACACCAGCAGTGTGTGAGGAGACCTGAAAGTGGCACATGGCAGAGTGTGGCGATGGAGACAGCAGCAATGGGAGGCCGTACAGGGACCCATGACAGACTCTGGACTTGGCAGCAGCATGAGGAGGCGGTATATAGGGGCCCATGGCAGATTAGGGGCCTGGCAGCAGCTAGCAGCTATGGGAGGCCCGTAATCTGCCAGCACCCTATGTCAAAAAATTCAACACACCAGCAGTGTGTGAGGAGACCTGAAAGTGGCACATGGCAGAGTGTGGCGATGGAGACAGCAGCAATGGGAGGCCGTACAGGGACCCATGAGAGACTCTGGACCTGGCAGCAGCATGAGGAGGCGGTATATAGGGGCCCTATGGCAGATTAGGGGCCTGGCAGCAGCTATAGGAGGCCCGTAATCTGCCAGCACCCTATGTCAAAAAATTCAACACACCAGCAGCAGTGTGAGGAGACCTGAAAGTGGCACATGGCAGAGTGTGGCGATGGAGACAGCAGCAATGGGAGGCCGTACAGGGACCCATGAGAGACTCTGGACTTGGCAGCAGCATGAGGAGGCGGTATATAGGGGGCCCATGGCAGATTAGGGGCCTGGCAGCAGCTATGGGAGGCCCGTAATCTGCCAGCACCCTATGTCAAAAAATTCAACACACCAGCAGTGTGTGAGGAGACCTGAAAGTGGCACATGGCAGAGTGTGTGGCGATGGAGACAGCAGCAATGGGAGGCCGTACAGGGACCCATGAGAGACTCTGGACTTGGCAGCAGCATGAGGAGGCGGTATATAGGGGCCTATGGCAGATTAGGGGCCTGGCAGCAGCTATGGGAGGCCCGTAATCTGCCAGCACCCTATGTCAAAAAATTCAACACACCAGCAGTGTGTGAGGAGACCTGAAAGTGGCACATGGCAGAGTGTGGCGATGGAGACAGCAGCAATGGGAGGCCGTACAGGGACCCATGAGAGACTCTGGACTTGGCAGCAGCATGAGGAGGCGGTTAGGGGGGCCCATGGCAGATTAGGGGCCTGGCAGCAGCTATATGGGAGGCCCGTAATCTGCCAGCACCCTATGTCAAAAAATTCAAACACACACCAGCAGTGTGTGAGGAGACCTGAAAGTGGCACATGGCAGAGTGTGGCGATGGAGACAGCAGCAATGGGAGGCCGTACAGGGACCCATGAGAGACTCTGGACTTGGCAGCAGCATGAGGAGGGCGGTATATAGGGGCCATGGCAGATTAGGGGCCTGGCAGCAGCTATGGGAGGCCCGTAATCTGCCAGCACCCTATGTCAAAAAATTCAACACACCAGCAGTGTGAGGAGACCTGAAAGTGGCACATGGCAGAGTGTGGCGATGGAGACAGCAGCAATGGGAGGCCGTACAGGGACCCATGAGAGACTCTGGACCTGGCAGCAGCATGAGGAGGCGGTATATAGGGGCCTATGGCAGATTAGGGGCCTGGCAGCAGCAGCTATAGGAGGCCCGTAATCTGCCAGCACCCTATGTCAAAAAAAATTCAACACACCAGCAGTGTGAGGAGACCTGAAAGTGGCACATGGCAGAGTGTGGCGATGGAGGAGACAGCAGCAATGGGAGGCCGTACAGGGACCCATGAGAGACTCTGGACTTGGGCAGCAGCATGAGGAGGCGGTATATAGGGGCCATGGCAGATTAGGGGCCTGGCAGCTATGGGAGGCCCGTAATCTGCCAGCACCCTATGTCAAAAAATTCAACACACCAGCAGTGTGTGAGGAGACCTGAAAGTGGCACATGGCAGAGTGTGGCGATGGAGACAGCAGCAATGGGAGGCCGTACAGGGACCCATGAGAGACTCTGGACTTGGCAGCAGCATGAGGAGGCGGTATATAGGGGCCCATGGCAGATTAGGGGCCTGGCAGCAGCTATGGGAGGCCCGTAATCTGCCAGCACCCTATGTCAAAAAAATTCAACACACACACCAGCAGTGTGAGGAGACCTGAAAGTGGCACATGGCAGAGTGTGGCGATGGAGACAGCAGCAATGGGAGGCCGTACAGGGACCCATGAGAGACTCTGGACTTGGCAGCAGCATGAGGAGGCGGTATATAGGGGCCTATGGCAGATTAGGGGCCTGGCAGCAGCAGCTATAGGAGGCCCGTAATCTGCCAGCACCCTATGTCAAAAAATTCAACACACCAGCAGTGTGTGAGGAGACCTGAAAGTGGCACATGGCAGAGTGTGGCGATGGAGACAGCAGCAATGGGAGGCCGTACAGGGACCCATGAGAGACTCTGGACTTGGCAGCAGCATGAGGAGGCGGTATATAGGGGCCCATGGCAGATTAGGGGCCTGGCAGCAGCTATAGGAGGCCCGTAATCTGCCAGCACCCTATGTCAAAAAATTGAAACACACCAGCAGTGTGTGAGGAGACCTGAAAGTGGCACATGGCAGAGTGTGGCGATGGAGACAGCAGCAATGGGAGGCCGTACAGGGACCCATGAGAGACTCTGGACTCTGGACTGGCTTGGCTGGCAGCAGCATGAGGAGGCGGTATATAGGGGCCCATGGCAGATTAGGGGCCTGGCAGCAGCTATGGGGGGGGCCCGTAATAATCTGCAGCACCCTATGACAAAAAAATGGAACACACCAGCAGTGTGTGAGGAGACCTGAAAGTGGCACATGTTTGAGGCATGATTCATGGCGGATTTAGTCAGTTGTGTCAGGAACTGGTGGTTTGAAATCCAGACTAATCCACGCCTGATTCATTTTCACAAACGTGAGTCTCTCTCCACACTTTGGGTGGACAGTCGTGTCCTCCGCGGAGTTACAATACCTCCTGCCGCACTAAACACGCGCTCCGATGCCACGCTACTGGCCGGGCATGACAGCCTTTCAAGGGCAAATTCAGCTAGTTGGGGCCAAAGGTCAAGTTTCGTTGCCCAGTAGTCAAGGGGATTGTCTACCTCGGTTGGCAGGGTGCTGTCCAAGTAGGCCCAAGCCTGTTGTTTGAGGTCCTGCTCCAGGTCCACCTGCTGCTGCTGCTGCTGCTGCTGCGGCTGGTTAGTAGTTTCCTCACTGCGCTGGTGAAGAAAGCTACTCATCATCGACTGCAGACTGAGGCAGCCGCTGCTGGTGGAGCTGCCACTGCTCCTACCCCACCCCCCCCCCCTGCTGCCA